GGTCAGTTGGCAGTTTCTAATAAATAACTCCACAGCGAAGGTTTTCTACCTTAAAGTAGTCCTACTACGCCATAATTGAGTGTGTTATTGTGCCCCTGATGGCCCAGTTCATGTCCCAAATGACCTACAAAATGTATTTCGACGTATGTCCCTTGTGTACCGTTGATGTCGTCAACTCCGCTTGTGAAGTTCAGAGAGCATATCCAGTGATTTTACTTGTCACTTCCATGTGCTGTTTTCAAGCAAGTATACCTAACTAGAAAACAAGCCGGTGTGTGTCAAATAGCTTGGAAACACGGGGCATGCGCTGCTTTCTAGTTGAAAACCGTCAGAAACGGGCACCCGCCGAATCCTCAGAGGGATTTCGGCCAACCATGTTGAGCATAGCGGCAGAAGAAAAAACTTGTCCGCTGCAATCTGCTAATCATCCGTGGGAGCTGTTCTCACACAGACCAGATACAGCGTAACACATGCAATGTTCAGGAATTCACATGAGGCGAACACGCCTGTTCCAAAAATATCATTAACCACTGGTAATTTGAATCTCGGAGTCCCCATTAGGGGAGGGGCAGTTGCCCACTGCTCATTGTTTGCGTGCTCTGTTGCCAGGTCATACACTGCGCATCTCTCGGTCGCTTCCATTCAGCTCATTTGCACTCGGATCAGCTTGCATTAGAGTCATACCACTAAAGACATAAACACCAGTTGCGATGTATCAACTTGGAAAAGGTGGGCGTTTTTCATTACCAGCAAACTCAAGCATTCAGAACATGAGGGGCAGTCTCTCCAGAGTGCAGAACATTCCATCAGCTGTAAAGGTAAAATTGTACACGTCTTCCTGGTGTGTATTTCAGCATATTTTTGGTCACATTTCATCAGTTTGTTCCATATTAATGGGCAGTGATGTTTGCGTCTTTGGCGTGCCTATTTTCAGATCCTTCCTAAGAAGGTGTAATTTTGGCGCTCAGTGTCCCCTATTGCTCACAAACATGGTGGCTGTATGCATCCCTCAGATGCCTACTAAGATTCCATTGCTGGCAGAATGATGCCCCACACGTTTCACATTGTCGACGCGTTCTCTAACTGTGTACCGATCGCCGGTGTTGAAGGAGTTTCTCGCAACATGATAAGCACTTTCCGCATTCAGGACATGGATATCCTATTGCCTCGGATTCCCACACTGGATGTCTTGATATTCTGACAGGCATATTAACTCCACCGGAGTGAATTTGCTTCCTTGATTGTTGAAGGCCTCCCTTACTTCATAGTGATATTTCGGACAGATCACAGAGGACACCAGCAGTTCTGTCGATCTAATCGTGGCGTCTCTTAGCCACCGAGAAGTCATGGGATGGTCGACAGTGTAGAAAACGCTTTAGAGGTACCTCCTGATGTGTTACTCTGGTCTTGTCGTCCGTTCGATCAGCGCTGGAGCAGCCATCCTCCGCCCTATTTTCTGGCTGCCTATTGTGTAAATCCGCTGGTCGAAAATAAGAGGTGGAGAAAAAATATCAGTTACAGCATTTGTCCGCAACTGGCATGTACTGACTCGGATAGCAACAGACACGTAGGCGAGGAGTCGACACTGCGATTAGTATGAAAATACTTGGAAATTTTCATCGGACATTTGTGAACTTACCCTGTACCGGAGAGCCTGCTAGTACTGCCCAGCTGTTTCATCCTCAATGGGAATTATGCGCGGTGTGCACCTTCGAAGAGATTAGAAGTCAGATTCACTCCGTTCGTTTTTTGAACGCTAAAGCGGTAGATCGCTGGTAGATGATCAGCTGTTTGATTAACCCGCAAATACAAATATATCATAAAAACATTTAATCACTTACGGCATTCACGTGACGCGGACTGATCCGGATTTGTAAACTTGTCATTATTGCACCTAGTTTCGGTCCATTGCAGTTGACTCGTGTGTTAATGTAATTCATTTGCGCGGTATACAAATTTGAACTCAAGAGGCGTACCCAGAACCACCGCTATTTCGGCTTGAGAAACCTAGCACTCTCTCAAATCTGGTGACGCCTTATGTGCCATAGAGAGATATTTACCGCCGAGCGAATTGCTGTTGATATATATATTACCAGGTGGTCGGGTGATCGAATATTCCTGGAAAGCCTGAGCTGCACACGAGTGAGAGGACGATGGATGCATGTAACAGAACTACCATGTCTCTCGTTATTTCGCACACATTTAATTCACACAGAGGTTTAATTAGCCTTCGCCAACGTAGTCAGCACAGCGTGCTCCGCATAACAGTCATTTGTCACA